TGGCCTCCTCCTTAGGATGCATGCACCCCACACACACGTTACATCATAGCGAGTCGGCTCAGTGGGGGAGAAGGAGGGGCTATTACTTAACGTTTAAAGTTACCATGGCAACACATAACCAAAGATTATGCAAAAAGCTCCTCATGGGAACACAGTGGAACATCAATAAGCTCATTGATAAAGCTTGTCTTCGTGTACACTAGAGCCTAGTGTCTGAAAACACTTGAGCCTAGAAACATCATTCAAAGTTTATATTTTATTTACTGACTTATGTTTTGTGTGGATAAAACCGCTTGAGATGAGCCGTCTCGTTTTCGAGCGGCCCCCTTTCCTACAAGCAATAAACAGATAGACGACAGGGTCAGCGCACAGACGACAAGTCTAGACTGTTAAAAACAAATCAGACACAAAAGTTATAGAAGAGGAAAAGTAAAATAAAATACATAAGAAATTATAAATAAATAATAGTACTAATAATTTTATTGAAAAAACAATGATAGTAAAAAAAATAAGAAAACAAAAAGCTTGCATGGGTATACATTTACATATTCTCACATTACATTTTAGTTTATGCAACACAAGGTTTGGGGCAGCAGTAGCTCAGGTGGTAGAGCGGGTTGCCTCATGATCGGAGGGTCATGGGTTCGATTCCAGCTCCCGCCAGGGGTATCCTGCTGTTGTGTCCTTGGGCAAGACACTTCACCCAACTTGCCTGTGTTAGTGGTGGTCAGAGGGGCCGACGGCGCCAAATGGCAGCCTCGCCTCTGTCAGACCTCCCCAGGGCGGCTGTGGCTACAAGTAGCTTACCATCACTAGCAGTGTGTGAATGTGAGAGTGTGAAAGCGTCTTTGGGGGTCTAGAAAAGCGCCATATAAGTTCAATGCATTATTATTATTATTATTATTATTATTAAGGTAAAAATACCAATACTTTTACTTAGGGACTTATTAGGTTATGAAGCAAAGGAAGGAAAACATTTACAAGTCTGTCTCACATGTTCTAAAGCTGAAGCACTATCCATCCATCTTCTGAACCCGCTCGTCCACGTAGGGTCGCGGCGGGGGGGGGGGGGGGGGGGGGGACAGGACAAACAATCACACACACACACACACCTAAGGACAATTTGGACAGATCAATTAACCTAACAGTCATGTTTTTGGACGGTGGGAGGAAGCGGGAGAACCCGGAGAGAACCCACGCATGCACAGGGAGAACATGCAAACTCCATGTAGAAAGACCCCAGGCCGGGAAGCGAACCCAGGACCTTCCTGCTGCAAGGCAGCAGCTCTAACCACTGCGCCACTGCGCAGCCTGCTGAATGACTAAATAAATGACATTATTAAATTGAGCTTAAATCTGCAGTCCCATGGAGCTTCAGCGCAGAAGGCACATCTCACAGCTTCTTTTCTGAACCGTGGAAAAACAAAAGAAAGCTGATCGGTGAGACGAGTAGACCTTGAAGAGTTGATGGGAACAGTGTTTTCAAATAAGATAGACAATTAAAATAAATACATTTGAAAATAAATATCAACCAATGAAAATGACGACTAGCTTCCAAGGACAGCCAAGAAAGACATTCATACATATGATGATGATGCGTTTTGAACGCAAAACAAAGCAACATAAACTATTCTAAACAACATTCAGTAGCTGAAGACTTGCAGCTGTGGAGTTTTGATGAAGTATAGCAGCGTCCTCACTAGAAGGTCACGACAACTGAAGGATTGATGTAAAGATTTCAAACAGCAAGAGACTTCATGACAGATGTTTTGAATATGAGATCCAAAGGACAAGTCTGGCTCCAACCAAACCCCAAATGTTTGATACAGTCAGATGAGAGAACCTGCACAGAGTCCAAGACGTATAAATTGAGATACGTATTTGCAACAGAGCTAGATGTCTTCCCTCGTAAATCATCCATCTTCTTCCAGAATTGCTTGGGGTTGGTAAAATCACATAAATGTGCCTAATATGGGTCACATGGGCCTCCGTCACATTAATGCGGCTTTCTGATATCACGTCCAGTTCTTTTAAAATCACTGATGACGATTTAGCCACATTTAAAGATGTTCCAGAAAATGTTTGTGGGGAAAAAGAGGATGTTTAGCCTGCTTTGCTCCAACTCAGACGGAGTCCTGAGGAAACTGTGGGCTGTAACTTGAACTGGGTGAAAGCTGATGGAAGTCCCTGAGCTTTGAGCCAGATCTACTCCAACAACTGTGGCTGTGAAATCATATTTATTGACTTATTTTCATATTTTCTTTCCACCTCTCACTCTCTAGGTGGCATGACCTCAGAGTCGTCGTCGTCTTCCTCCGCTTATCCGGGTCCGGGTCGCGGGGGCAGCATCCCAATTAGGGAGCTCCAGGCCGTCCTCTCCCCGGCCTTGTCCACCAGCTCCTCCGGCAGGACCCCAAGGCGTTCCCGGACCAGATTGGAGATGTAACCTCTCCAACGTGTCCTGGGTCGACCCGGGGGCCTTCTGCCGGCAGGACATGCCCGAAACACCTCCCCGGGGAGGCGTCCAGGAGGCATCCTGACCAGATGCCCAAACCACCTCAACTGGCTCCTTTCGATCCGGAGGAGCAGCGGTTCTACTCCGAGTCCCTCCCGAATGTCCGAGCTCCTCACCCTATCTCTAAGGCTGAGCCCGGCCACCCTACGGAGGAAACTCATTTCGGCCGCTTGTATCCGCGATCTCGTTCTTTCGGTCATTACCCAAAGCTCATGACCATAGGTGAGGATTGGGACGTAGATCGACCGGTAAATCGAGAGCCTGGCTTTCTGGCTCAGCTCCCTCTTCCCCACGACAGATCGGCTCAGCGTCCGCATCACTGCAGACGCCGAACCAATCCGCCTGTCGATCTCCTGATCCCTCCTACCCTCACTCGTGAACAAGACCCCGAGATACTTAAACTCCTCCACTTGAGGTAGGACCTCTCCCCCGACCCGGAGGTGGCAAGCCACCCTTTTCCGGTCGAGAACCATGGTCTCAGATTTGGAGGTGCTGATCCTCATCCCAGCCGCTTCACATTCGGCCGCGAACCTACCCAGCAAGAGCTGAAGGTCAGAGCTGGATGAAGCTAGGAGGACCACATCATCCGCAAAAAGCAGAGACGAGATTCTCCTGCCACCAAACTCGACACACTCCACACCACGGCTGCGTCTAGAAATTCTGTCCATAAAAGTGATTAACAGAACCGGTGACAAAGGGCAGCCCTGGCGGAGTCCAACCCTCACTGGGAACAGGTCCGACTTACTACCGGCTATGCGGACCAAACTCACGCTCCTCTGGTAAAGGGACTGAATGGCCCTTAACAGAAAGCCACCCACCCCATACTCCTGGAGCGTCCCCCACAGGGTGCCCCTGGGGACACGGTCATAAGCCTTCTCCAAATCCACAAAACACATGTGGATTGGTTGGGCAAACTCCCATGCCCCCTCCATCACCCTTGCAAGGGTATAGAGCTGGTCCACAGTTCCACGGCCAGGACGAAAACCACATTGCTCCTCCTCTATCTGAGATTCAACTATCGATCGGACCCTCCTCTCCAGTACCTTGGAGTAGACCTTTCCAGGGAGGCTGAGGAGTGTGATCCCCCTATAGTTGGAACACACCCTCAGGTCACCCTTCTTAAAGATGGGGACCACCACCCCGGTCTGCCACTCCCTAGGAACTGCCCCCGATGACCACGCAATGTTGTAGAGACGTGTCAACCATGACAGCCCTACAACATCCATAGCCTTGAGATACCCAGGACGAACCTCATCCGCCCCCGGGGCTCCGCCGCTGTGTAGTTGTTTGACTACCTCAGCAACTTCTGCCCCCGAGATCGGACAGTCCATCCCCAGGCCTCCCAGCTCTGGTTCCTCCTCGGAATGCGCATTGGTGGGATTGAGGAGCTCCTCAAAGTATTCCTTCCACCGTCCGACTATAGCCTCAGTTGACGTCAGCAGCTCCCCATCCCCACTGTAAACAGTGTGAGCGAGTTGCTGCCTTCCTCTCCTGAGGCGCCGGACAGTTTGCCAGAACCTCTTTGGAGCCGATCGATAGTCTTTCTCCATGGCCTCACCAAACTCCTCCCACGCCCGAGATTTTGCCTCGGCAACTGCCACTGCTGCAACCCGCTTGGCTATCCGGTACCTGTCTGCTGCCTCCGGAGACCCACAGACCAGCCACGCCCTGTAGGCCTCCTTCTTCAGCCTGACGACTCCCCGAACCTCTGGTGTCCACCAGCGGGTACGGGGGTTGCCACCACGACTGGCACCGGCCACCTTACGACCACAGCTAGCAACAGCCGCCTCGACAATCGCAGAGTGGAACAAGGCCCACTCGGACTCAATGTCCCCCACTGCTCTCGGGACGTGGTCAAAGCTCTGCCGGAGGTGGGAGTTGAAGACCGTCTTGACAGGTTCTTCTGCCAGGCGTTCCCAGCAGACCCTCACTATGCGTTTGGGTCTGCCAGGTCTACGCGGCATGTTCCCTTGCCATCTGATCCAACTCACCACCAGGTGGTGATCAGTTGACAGCTCCGCCCCTCTCTTCACTCGGGTGTCCAAAACATACGGCCGCAGGTCAGATGATACGACTACAAAATCTATCATCGACCTGTGACCTAGGCTGCCCTGGTACCAAGTGTACCGGTGGGCATCCTTATGTTCGAACATGGTGTTCGTTATGGCCAAACTGCGGCTTGCACAGAAGTCCAATAACAAAACACGAGTGCTAGATAGTGTATTAAAGGTGAACATCCTCAAGGGAAAGAACACTGTTGATAACAAAACTACAGGTGGATTTGTGTCTGTGTGTTGAAGCCGGATGCTCTGATTGTGGATTTGCTGGCTAACATCTGGTGAAAAGGTTAGCAGCTAAAAACATCACCAGCTCAGATCTTTATAAACACACATTTTATACATAAACTAAAAAAACTACAAATAGCAACAGAGAGAGAGAGAGCGAGAGAGAGAGAGAGAGAGAGAGAGAGAGAGAGAGAGAGAGAGAGAGAGAGAGAGCGGGAGAGAGAGGTGTCTTATGGGTAAACTTATCTAAAATGGAAGCCTGGAAAGATTTAATTACCATGTAGAGAACACACACACACACACACACACACACACACACACACACACACACACACACACACACACACACACACACACACACACACACACACACACACACACACACACACACACACACACACACACACACACACACACACACACACACACACACACACATCAGTGCTTGTTGGGCTGTAGGGGTGGATGGTGAGATGCTGATGAGAGGAAGAAGGTTTGGTGTTACTGGAAGTGACAGCAGATGTCAGACAGGAACTGGAGGTGTTAAACTGGTTACAGTGGGAAATAAGAGACAGGTGTGATGTGGAGAGCATTGTTACTGGTGTTGATGATGTTTGCAGAGCAGCCTGGTATCTGCTGTGTGATTGGTGATGTTGAATCCTGCTCCTAAACAGAGCTGTGTGACTTCATACAGAACATTTCAAACATCTCATTAGGAAGCAGGAGAGGAAGGCCTCCTGGTCAACTTCCTTCACATCCAAGAGTCTTATCTTCAGACGCTGACAAGGACACATCCAGACCAGTAACAGATAAAGTGGGGCAGTCTCTGAGTTCTCAGACCATTGGGACCAGGTTCTCCCGGTGTGTGTGTGTGTGTGTGTGTGTGTGTGTGTGTGTGTGTGTGTGTGTGTGTGTTTAAAGGTGAAACTGTTATCTCCACTGACAGCTTTAACACCATCTGCTGAGACCTAAAGACCAGAAAAAAGAGGTGCTGGTAAATCTTGATCCTCCCTTTGAGTCAGGATTCAGGAAAGTAATGATGCGTACTGCTAGAACCAGGGAGATGGGTCAGTGTGTTTGGTTTTACTCACAATGTTAATAAAGTTAGAGTTCTGATGTTGTTGTTGGTAAGCTTCATATGGTTCCCAACCAACAACAACAGGAAGTAAACAAACACGCTCCTCTCAGCTGCTTCCATCCAAGTAAAAGTAGCTCCAGAAAATCTGCCTGCAGCCACGGACGGAGTTTCCTTCCTTTAGGCTCACGTTGTGTTTAGTAAATGACAACCTGCTTCATGTTTAATCTACCACTGAGATTAGATTAGATTATTTAGTCCTGACACGTAAACCCTGTGGATATTTCCTTCCCAGGCAAAACGTTGATGGAACAACAGACTCGAGCCACTGGTAGATGAGAAGTTTAATTCCCTTCTGGCACCATGTTGATGCCCTTGAGATGTCCCCCCACCCCCAACCTGCTTATCAATGAATGTGTGAAAACAATCATGCTTAGAGAGAACATGCTATAGTACCGAGCAGGGGCGATTCTAGCATCAGAGGTTTAGGGGGGCTGAGCACCCACAGATCTGCCCGGTCAGGCAAGATCAGTTTCAACATTTTAACACAGTTTCATTCTCACATTTATGAAAGAAAACAAAAACACTGTTTTCACTGATCAAATTACAGTTTTACACATCACAATCTGCATGATTACCAAGTTCTGCTAACACTGTAGCGGAGTCTGGTCCAGGTCAGTGGCTGTGTGGTAACCTCACCATCTCAGCACAAACCTGTTGTAGAAGAATAAGGAGAAATGATCTTTTGTTTTGAGTCTTTCAAGATAAAAATCATGAGGCGCTTGTATGTGCTGAATTCCCACACATTTGGTGGGACCTCCTTGGTGGATTGCAGACTTCAGGTTGGGAACCACTGGTCCAGGTGTTGTAGTTTTAACATGTGAGCAGATTAAAGATGCTCATGAGTGGAAAAACTGGTTGGAATTGCCCTTTAATATTTGGAAACATGAAAATGATGCCAATTGTTTTTTTTTTTTAGCTTTGTCTGAATTTCCACAACAGAATGAAGCTAAAAGTACCAGTAATACTTTTTAGATACATTGATACTTATTCCCACATCATTTTCCACTAATATCTAATCTAATATTTATTTTGACGGGCACAACACTGGGTTTATGTTTACATCTACCAGCCAGCAGAGGGCACCACTGCCAAACAGTCAGCTCAGCACAGCAAGGCGGGCTCTGTGGAAAATGGTGGATTCAGTAAGTTGCTGCTTCTGAGCCCAGAAGATGTAGTCATCCTTCTCAGAAGAGGAGCGACCATAAGAGATCTAACACCAGAGTTTAGGTGAAGCTACAACAGATGGACCCAAACGAAACATTTCACGTGTCGGCAACTAACCTATTTCTATTGTTGCTCCACACACAGACGTGGCGTTGGTGTTCATGTTCCAACTTTAACTGAAAGAAATTCTGGAAATTCTGACCCTAAATCAATGATTTCAGTAAGTTATTGAATGTTTCATATCCACCCACCAGATTTACTGATCAGTGAATCTGACTGTAAAAACAATAAAAATAATAAAAACGTTACGAGGAAATCTTCATCAAGTCAAAGTCAGATTCTATCAGAATGAACAGACAGAAACATAAAACCTTCATAAAATGAACTGTTGAAGGGGGTAGGCGATTTTTCAGGAGCTATTTTTGTCATCTTGCTTGAAATGCTTTTCATATACTGATGATGACAACCAGCAAATTAGAGTTGGATCAGAACGTCTCTCTCTCCTCTGCACACAACCGTCTGAAGCCAGAACTGGAGCTGGGCTAGCCAGTGTCACGCTCCTTTGCTCAAGCCTTTGTGCTTGAGGCGACCCACCTTCAGATGCATCATTATTAAGATCCTCCAACAGAACCTGAACCATTATTCTGATTTCTACTTCAACATTCTGACCCAAATCAACTAAAGCTCTTCCTTTAAAATCAGGTGCAAACAGACATGAGACTGTTCGTGTTTGGAGACGGCGGCACAGGTGTTAAGTGCTCACTCCATAATTGGAAGGTTGCAGGTTCAAGCCCTGCTCAGTCTGTCACTGCCATTGTGTCCTTGGGCAAAACACTTAGCCCACCTTGCCTGCTGGTGGTGGTCGGAGGGACCGGTGGCGCCTGCGTACGGCAGCCTCGCCTCTGTCAGTGCACCCCAGGGCAGCTGTGGCTACATCGTAGCTCATCCCCACCAGTGTGCGAATGTGTGTGTGAATGGGTGTGTGAACGACTGATTGTGTTTTAAAGCGCCTTTGGAGGTTCCAGAACTCTATATGTAAATGGCCTGTATTTGATATAGCGCCTTCTAGAGTCCTGGATCCCGCCAAGGCGCTTTACAACACAGTCATTCACCCATTCACACACACATTCACACTGGTGGGGATGAGCTATGAGCACTGAACTCTCATGCCACCATCACCTATAGGCGAATACAGGCCATTTACATCACCTTGTCCTCCAACGCACTGAAGGAAATGAACGATCGCGTGTTAAATAATTTGGCAACACCTGATTGATACTGTGGCCGTGCTCAGGAGGCAGATCCGACCGCAAAAACAGCGGAGTGCTCCCTGCTTGGCGGCCGCATCAGTGATCAGTGCGTCGGAGGACAAGGTGTGCCCCGCTCCACAGCAGCGACACACATCAGGCGCAAAAAAAAGACAGAAAACATTAAAGGAAATGATCCGACATGAACGATTGCGTGTCAGTACCGACGCTCTGGCACAGCGCGTTGCCCCCCCGAGCGCAGGAGCTTGTCACCTGCTGACAGCAGGCTGCTGTCTTTTCCGAGGGCTGCATCTTGCCGGTCATTATCACGTGACAGCGACTAGTCGACGACAGGCATAAAAAGTCACTATAGTGAAGTCGACTAGTTCATACAACCCCTGCTACTGCTCCCCAGAGTGTTCTGCAGCATAATCAGCACGTTCTCTTTGAACTTGATATCAAATTTTCGCCTCCTCTTCGTCTCCGCACGGTTAAAGTTACCCTCGCGGTCTATCACTGGCAAATCAAAAGTGAGACGGATGACACAACCGCCCCCCGTACTTGCTTGTTACCACATTCCACCCGGCCACAATAAGAGACCGGCCATTATTCACCTCCGCTGACTCCGACACCGGCCAAAATTGGAGACCCGGCCTTTAATTGAATACCGGCCTGTATTAGAGGATTTACGGTACAACATATACAGTTACAGTTAAAAAGAAAACTATGTTGCATCCTCTTCTGTTGCGGTCTGGCCACAGCGCCTCAACCACATCACAAATGTGTGTCCCAAATGACAACGTACCTGAGCTGTTCTGGACCATCCACATGGTCTGGTGGAATGAGTGTGTTATGTAGGGTGTCCAGGAATGTGATCAGATGGGCGGAGCTAGGGGCCAAGGGTAGCATGGTGATGGATGATGCCATGGTAGCCAAGCGCTGCACACATTGTGATGTTCCCTCCGCGCTGGCCAGGGACTTCAACAATGGCACGCTGGCCAATGATATTCCTTCCCCTCTTTCGTCTTTTTGTGAGATTGAATCCAACCTCATCAATGAAGGTGAACTGGTGCTCCACTGCAGCTGCCTCTAGCTCAAGGACTCTCTGAAACACACGACATATCAGAAACAGATATATTGTGAAGCACAATCATTATTACAATACTGAAATATGTATAATTTACTGTATACAGTGGTGAGTTTGCATCAGTTGTGGGACTCACTTGCACATAGTTATATCGCAATTATTTGACTCTTTCTGGATTGCGTTTGAATGGCACCCTGTAGACCTGCTTTCTAGGAACATGTTCATGATTTCAGTTTCCTGTTCAGGAGACAGAAGATGTTCCCGACCACCTTGTTTTGGTAACCTTTCAGTTCTGACAAATGGGAAAATTCTGTGAATACAAAGTAATACTGGAAACAAACATCATTACAGTATTTTTTACTGTCCTGCAAAACAGACCACAGGCAATACACTGGCCAGCTCAGTGGTCTAGTGGAGAGTGTCCGTCCTGAGACTGGGCGATCAGGGTTCGATTCCTGGTCGGGTCCTACCTAAGACTTAGAAAAAATGAGACCCAACACCTCCCTGCTTGACACTCAGCATTAAGGAGTTGGATTTGGGGGTTAAACCACCAAATGGTTCCCGAGCGCGGCCGAGTCTGCAGCCCACCGCTCCCCCAGAGGATGGGTCAAATGCAGAGAACACATTTCACACCCACAACAATTGGCTTAATGAACTGACCTGTATTGGAATGTGAAGTGCCTTAGGACGACTCTTGTCGTGATTTGGCGCTTTATAAATAAACTTGAATTGAATTGAATTGTGACAACTAATGGAATCAAGTGATACTACTACTGTACTCATTGAATACTGATCGTATTGATATGCAGTACTGCAGTTTTCTAGTGAGAGAAGATTTCTTACCTATTCTCATTTCGGAAAGTCCAGATGATGGATGCCACAGTGTACCTGCTCAAATGTGGCTGTACTCTTTGTCCAGCCTCCCTCGTTGTCAGACCATGGCTGACCACAGGATCAACCAAAGTGGCTCGGATCTCATCAGAGATTATGGTCCTTGGCCTTCCTCCTCCCCGTCCTCCTCCTCTTACTCTCACTCCTCTGCCTCTGCCTCTGTTTCCAATGTTGGCATCCATTGCTCCAAAACAGAAGAGCTCACCTGTTGCCCTTTTATGCTAACGCGCTGATTGCTGATTGTAAAACTGTGTGACAGGTGTTTTCCATTGTGATGAGTCAGCGTGCATATTTGAATAGCAGTGTGTTCCTTGTGAAAACAGGATATTTTCTGCATGACAATTGTGCCAAAAGCAGACAATTATGTGTAGTGTTTTGACGTAGATTTGCTTTAGAACTACAGTTTGAGTGTAAAACAGGAACTGTGCTTGTAGTTTAGCAGAACTGGTTCATGGGGGTGGTGAATGAGTTATATGTTGTGGTCAGTGTGTCTCAAGTACCAGAATTTGTGTGTAAACAACTGAGGAAAGCTGTAATCAGAGCCCTCTATGGAACCAGGGTACCTTCATCCCCTCCAGAATTTAAACTTCTAACAACCGTTTTCCCTTTTCTTCCATGTTCAGGTTTCCTCTGCACTGTAGCAACTGACAAGTGTTTATCGTCTCCATGTAACAATGGCGCTACGTGCATCGACCACCTGGGCGACTACGTGTGTGTGTGCCCCAAAGGCCCCGTGTGGTATATGGGGAAGCGCTGTGATGAGCTCTACGACGCCTGTCTGATGGCTCCTTGCACAAACTGCACCAGCAGACCAGGAACGGACCAGTTCACCTGCCATTGCCCTGATGGTTTCACTGGGCCCAGCTGTGATCAGGATGTGGATGAATGCCAAAGTGACCCCTGCAGCGGTATCAAGTCCTTCTGCGTTAACCAGGTCAATGGCTACTCATGCCACTGTCTCCTTGGACATGGGGGGATTGACTGCCAGGACAATGTGACCACATGTTCATCAAACACATGCCAGAATGGTGGCAGCTGTGCAGACCTCCCTGATGTCGGGTACCAGTGTGAATGTGCAGCTGGCTTCCAGGGCAGAAGCTGTGAGGAGAACATCGATGAGTGCCAGTCTGACCCCTGTCAGAACGGAGCCATCTGTAAAGATGGCGTGGGTGGCTACCAGTGTTTCTGTGTACCCGGGTTTCAAGGTTACCACTGTGACCTGGACATCAACGAGTGTGCCTCCCAGCCCTGTCAGAACAACGGTACCTGTCTGGATAAGGTGGACCACTACCTGTGTGACTGCTCTCGGGGTTTCAAAGGTAAATGGTGTCTGAAGCAGGTCAGGAGCGCAAAGGCCAAAAAAAGGCTGATAAGCAGGTACAAAAGGCAGGTCCCTGACTGGCAGGCCACGTTTTAAATACCCTTGGGCAAGTCACTGAACCCTGAAAGTTTCCCCCGTGGTGCCGTAAAAATGTCCGCCACTGCTCCTCAGGCATGAGCGAGGAAGGAAGGAACCTCCCCAAACGGATCATTCAAATATGACGTCTTTCTGTTGAATGATTTTGAGCAGCCTCAGTTTGCAGAAACAAAGATCTGTTCAGACCAGTTAAATTCAGTTCAGTTTATTTATGCATCACCAGTTCACAACAAGAGTCGTCTCAATGCACTTCACTAAGTAAATATTCCAACTGAGTTCAGTTCATTAAAGGTTTCCTATAGAGGAAACCCAGCAGATGCATTGAGTCTCTGACTTGTTATGTCAGAGTCTTTACAGCAATCCCCCCCCTAAGCAAACATGTAGCGACAGTGGAGAGGAAAACTCCTTTGTAACAGGCAGAAACCTCCAGAGGATCCTGGCTCAGTATAAGCAGACAGGCAGACAGACGGATGGACGGACGGGCGGGCGGGCGGACGGGCGGACGGGCGGGTGAGCAAGTCGACTGCTTTTCTCTCAAAACCACTCTACTCTCAAAGGTTTTGTTTTTGTAAATAAATCACAACATTCCAGACAGTTTTGTTATAGAATCCAAAGTGAATTTAGGAAAGCAGCATTCTGGTTGATCAGGGGAAGTCTGCTGAAACATCAGATGATGTCTGCTGAAACATCAGATGATGGAAGGAGAGGAAAGGCAACGAAGGAGTGGAGAAACAATGAGAAATAAAAAACAATAATTAAACGTGCACAAATGTGAGAATGTCAGTGAGAATAAGAGCAGGAGGAGGTCTTTTAGTCCTGAGCTATCCAGTGGATTAATACTAACATCAAAATAAGTAAAGATTACTCTATGAAATGGTAAATTGCCTGTATTAACAGCTGCAGCCCGACAACTTCCCAAGGCGCTTTACAGCACAACAGTTATTCATCCATTCACACGCAGACGGTGATGGTAAATGGACTGTATTTGATATAACACCTTCTAGAGTCCTGCAACCCCCCAAGGTGCCTTACAACACAACAGTAACATTCAAACGCCACATTGTAGCCACAGCTGCCCTGGGGCCCACTGACAGAGGTGAGGCTGTCCTACACTGATGCCACCGGTCCCTCTGACCACCACCTGCAGGGGAGGCAGGTTAAGTGTCTTGCCCAAGGACACAACGATAGCGACAAACTGAGCGGGGCTTGAACCTACAAACTTCCGATTGCGGGGACCAGCACTTGACTCCTGTGCCGCCGTCGCCCCTTGATGAGCTACGGTACAGTGCAAAAGTCTTAGGCAGGTGTGGAAAATGCTGTAAACAAAGAAATATAAATAATGGTTGTTTATTTTAGTAGTTTACTAAATACAAAGTGAGTGAGCCCAAACATCCAACCAAAGTTATTCAGAACAAGGAGTCCTGGAAGGCCTGAACTCCGCCGAGCCCTGATCTCAACATCATGGAGCGTGTCTGGATCACATGAAGACAGAAGGAAGTGAGGAGGCCTTCATCCACAGAAGATGTGTGGTTAGTCCTCCCAGCCCAGCTCCCTTAACAACAGGTTCATATGTAGCTACAAGAGCTGATGCTGCTCTGGAGGCAGAGGGTTTGATGCACACTCACCTAAAGGATTATTAGGAACACCTGTTCAACTTCTCCTTAATGCAATTATCTAATCAACCAATCACACGGCAGTTACTTCAATGCATTTAGGGGCGTGGTCCTGATCAAGACCATCTCCTGGACTCCAAACTGAAGGTCAGAATGGGACAGAAAGGTGACTTAAGCTATTGTGAGCATGGCATGGCTGTTGGTGCCAGACGGGCAAGTCTGAGTATTTGACAACCTGCTCAGTTACTGGGATTTTCACCCACAACCATTTCTAGGTTTACAAAGAATGGTGTGAAAAGGGAAAACATCCAGTACGTGGCAGTCCTGTGGGCCAAAATGCCTTGTTGATGCTAGAGGTCAGAGGAGAAGGGGCCGACTGATTCAAGCTGATAGAAGAGCCTAACCCTCGTTACAACCGAGGAATGCAGCAAAGCATTTGTGAAGCCACAACACGCACAACCTTGAGGCGGATGGGCTACAGCAGCAGAAGACCCCACCGGGTACCACTCATCTCCACTACAAACAGGAAAAAGAGGCTACAATTTGCACCAGCTCACCAAACTTGGACGGTTGAAGACTGGAAAAATGTTGCCTGGTCTGATGAGTCTCCATTTCTGTTGAGACATCCAGATGGTAGAGTCAGAATCTGACGTAAACAGAATGAGAACATGGACCCATCATGCCTTGTTACCACTGTGCAGGCTGGTGGAGGTGGTGCCATGGTGTGGGATGTTTTCTTGGCACACTTTAGGCCCCTTAGTGCCAACTGGGCATGGTTTAAATGCCACGGGCTACCTGAGCATTGATTCTGACCATGTCCATCCCTTCATGACCACCATGTACCCATCCTCTGATGGCTACTTCCAGCAGGATAATACACCATGTCATAAAGCTCCAATCATTTCTAACTGGTTTCTTGAACATGACGATGAGTTCGCTGTACTACAACGGCCCCCACAGTCACCAGATCTCAACCAGATAGAGCATAATTGGGATGTGGTGGAACGGGAGCTTTGAGCCCTGGATGTGCATCCCACACATCTCCATCAGCTGCAAGATGCTATCCTATCAATGTGGGCCAACATTTCTAAAGAAGTCTTTCAGCACCTTGTTGAATCAACGCCACGTAGAATTAATGCAGTTCTGAAGGTGAAACGGGGTCAAACACCGTATTAGTATGGTGGTCCTAATAATCCTTTACATGAGTGTAGATTTCTCTTTTGTTCATTGATGACAACTAATGAGTAACACTTTCATTTTTGAAAGATTCACTGTTTACAACATTTTTCACACCAGCCTAAAACTAGTTAGCGTGTCCACTAACTGGTTGTGGTTGAAGTTTTGATGCATTGCACAGTTGGTACGAACATAGGAGCGACCAAAACAGGTGTGTTGGTTTGAGTTGGTGATCAGACGGAAACACTAAGCTGTGTATTCAGTTTGTTGGGCAGCGATAGGTCTGACATCTTCCCGATAATTGTTTCTATTTATCCACGCTCAGTTTCTCCTAACAAATTACAATTATCCACTATTTTAACGTGTTTCAGAACGAAGGTATTTTGGAATAGCTCAGCTGGTATTCTGCTGTTTGCATTTTACAGATGAGGTCTACGGGGATGTTTTCCTAACAAAGAGCAGATTTCTTTCATAAAAAAGACAAGTGCAGGATGTTAGCCCTAAAGGACCACAGTTGGACATTTACACACAATTTAGACGGCCTCAGCCATCTTAGAGGCACAAGTAGAAACTTTTTCTGTGTTCCTTCCAGAAACAACCTTTCCAACTTAAAAAGCATAACCGAGCAGACGGTTGTGCTATTGTGTAGTTTTGATGCAAGTGTTTGTTTAACCCAACACGTTGCTTTGGCCTTCTGCCATCTTGTTCTCTGGCACCCTGCAGGGATTAATTGTGAGGTGGAAATCGACGAGTGCGAAGCCCAGCCTTGTCAGAACGGCGCCACCTGCCGAGACCACGTTGCCACGTACTCGTGTGAGTGTGTGGCAGGTTTCCAGGGCCCAGACTGTGAGGTCAACATTGATGAATGTGCCAGCGCTCCCTGTCTGAATGAGGGCGAGTGCATCGACAGGATCAACGGGTAAGGTTCCACACCCAAAAAGCAGCCCACTCCTCTCTATCAAAGCTTCAGATGCAGGAACTATTTAATTTAGTCTTGTTTCCTGTGGTGGCGATGCCTCTCTGTGAGGCTGAAGTCATGTGAGTTAGTAGAAACGTCCTCATCTGACCCTAATCTGACAGTTTTCAGAGTAACATGGTGTAAAAAATCACAGAAACCAAACAAACTCAGTCTAGAAAAAGAGACCAGAAGTTGTGGAGCATGAGGATCAGGCAGGACCCTCAGAAGGTCTGTAAGAAGATCAAAGATGGCTGACCAGAGGACCACCTTCAGTTAGGATACAGGCTTACGAGTACAAGATTTTAAGTGGTCCTAGAATTTAAAACCACCTTTACCTTGTTGAATCTTGTGGCATCTACTGCAGCACACCAACACACCGCTGACCAACTCAGTGATGTTGCACAGACCATGGAGAAATGGTTGTTCTGGGAAAAACTGGTCCAACAGGTTAGACACATACAGTACGCTTACATTAGCACGTTCCAACCCACTTCAGAGTCTGCAATAGATAAAGGTTGGTTGCAGTAATGTTGACTGCAGAAGAGTGCTAGCCGGAGCTACTGCCAGTGCCACTTCAAGCTAATGCTAATGTCCCTATTGAACACTCACTTCACCTAACACCAACCGGTCAATCAGCACACAGGTAAGTTACGAGTGAGCAGAGCAAACCCATCTTTCGATTGTGGGACTTTATTTTGCGGTTGTATTCGGCCATTTGTCATGTTGTGTCGAAGTTCTAGGAACATTTTCTTGTTTAAAGAAAACACCTTTGAGTGGATCTTTCTACAGATGCAGCCACATTTTACCTGGTGATCAGAACCCACCCATTTTCAGCATGATCAATGATCATCAGATCTCAAAACATGTTTTTTTTTAACCCTCTGGAGGCAGGCGTTGCAGATTAGCAACGTTAAAACCTACCTGGTTACTCCACAGACGTATTTCATGAGCATTTTTAACTCGGAAGTTCCCCCGAAGGACTTAGTTGTTCGTCCTTTTATCAAAACGTATTTTGAGCCTGAGAGGGTTAAACAATTTTGTTTGTAAACACACGTCTACAGATGAAATTGGGAAAATGGGAACCTGTGGCAAAAGCTCATTTGTCAGTAATCCAACCTAAAAGGTGAAACTAATCTACGAGACAGACTCATTGCATGCTAATCCAGATGTCTCAGCCTTAATCTGTTATAAATGTGATGATTAAGGCTTACAGCTGATAAAAACCCCACATTATAAATCTCAGATCAGAATATTGTGTAAAGATTGAATATTCCAGACTCGAAGTGTCACACTCTGATCAGCTGATGAATCCAGAACACCTGCAGAGGGTTCCTGAGCCTTTAGATGGCCTCTCAGTCTAAGGCTGGATTACTGACAAAACTGGACTTTTGCACCAGATTCTAGTTTTTCCTGTTTCACCTGTATTTGAACTAGTACAATCTGTTCATGGTCCATCAATATAGCAAATGTCCCGCATGGATGCGTTTACTCCCAGAATCAGAATACACGCGTTAATCAGAAAGTGAAATAAGTCAACGATTCTTTACAAATGACAAAAATTCTGTTCTCTGAAATCAGTCAGAGTCAGATTAAATCAGTGAGAGTTACAACCATAGAAGACAACATTCTCAGTTCTATGACCTAGTTTTAAAGTATACCCGTGGAGGAGCTGTGCTGTGTGGTGACCCCAGCAGCATGTTGTGGCTGTGGGCAGCATGGCGGACAGTAAAGTTGACCAGGGATAAGAATGAACCCGTTTAGTGTCATCACGATGAGTCATCAGACTTCTGGAGCTGCTGTGCATACCTGACACAGCTGAGGTTGTGATGGACCGGACCGACCTCACTAACTACTCTAAACGTACGTGTTCGGCTCATTTGAGCATGGAGAAAAGTTCGGCACTGTGACAGAATGCCGACCTGTGCAGGTGTAATCGTGCTCAGAACAACGCAGCTAGAGAGGAAAGTCTTTTTAACCATCATTTCTGCTTTATAGAAAATTCTTAATTATTTTCAGTTTAGTTTATTTTACTGCTTCTGTAACTTTAAAGAGCAGGTAATCCCTGTACGCACCACTGTAAGAATCCCAGTTTCTCCTGAAACAGCCAATCAGCTGCAGTCTGGTGAATGCCTTCTTTACTCCCATGTGGATCATTTAGAGTCAGACAGTTTTAGCACGATTTAATGACACGTTTAACATTTCCACATGTTTGTGTGTTCCACCCAGCTACGAGTGTGACTGTGAGGGGACGGGATTCGTAGGCGTCCACTGTCAAGAGGACATTCTAGAATGTTCATCAGACCCTTGCCAGCATGGAGCCATCTGCTCAGACAGAATCAACCAGTACAAGTGCCTCTGCTGGCCAGGTACATGTCACACAGGTGCACACCTGTGTGGGAGTTTATGATGTTTAAATATAAATCCGGTAAAAAATCTTGGTAGAAAATAGATATTTAGAATTGTGAAACTTGAGGTTGGAGCAGACCCCGTCTACTGTGTTAGATGATCTTAACCCTTTGATGCATAACGGTCACTACAGTGGACAGGTACTCAGAATTGTTATTTATTTGTTTTTGCTATTAAGCACAGCTGTTGAAGACTTTATTGCATCTGAGCCCCTCCATTTGGACTTCAGTAAGCCAAGCCAAAATATTTCATGTTCAGAATGCACGCTGTCCACTGAGGTGGACATGTAATAAATTATTTGTAAATTATAAAATTTTACAAAAAATATTTGTTGAAATTTGTTTCATTCACACCTAAAGATGAATGAAAAAAATTGTTAAAAAAATCATGGTTGAAGATTTCATAATTCATGCATCAAAGCATGTTTGTTCTTCTAACAGAGTTTAAATACTGCACGTGTGTTTAGGTTATGAAGGAGAAAACTGTGAGGTGGATGTAAACGAGTGTGAGCAACAGCCATGTGAAAATGGCGGTGAGTGCTTCCAGCGCTCAGATGTCCGGAACTACAGGGTGCTTCCTGAACTCAGCACATCTAACTTCAGCTATGAGAAGGCAGCAGGCTTCATCTGCCACTGCCTACCAGGATTTACAGGTGAGCTCCCCATTTCCAAGAAAACCTCCAGGATTCATCTGCATCTAACAAAGACGTCCCTCCTGCAGGAGATAACTGCTCCGTGAATGTGGACGAGTGTGAGTCTGCTCCATGTCAGCATGGAGGAAGCTGTCAGGATCTGGTCGACTCTTATCAGTGTGTGTGTCCAGATGGCTTCACAGGTAGGAGAAAGTCTGCTCCTCAGATCCTACCTCTAACCATAACACCGCAGTCCAGTTCAAACCTCCACATATTTAAACACATTGGTTTGTGTTGTGGATTGAGATACTTTGCCTTTAATCTATTATCAGGTTACCACAGATGTACGTTAGACATAGAAGGAGTCATGAAGCACTGACCCAACAGAATGCAGTCACTGAGCCTATAAAGAAGCTCAGTGGCTCTTAGTGTCTGCCCTGAGACCGGTAGATCATGGGTTGGAATCCATGGTTGGGTCAAATCAAAGAATAAAAAATGAAGAAAACTTCTGACCTTGTTCTGGTCAAGAACCATGGCCTCAGGCCCTGTCCACACGTAGCCGGGGATCTGCCAAAACGTAGATATTTTTCTACGTTTTGGTCTGTCATCCACACGAAAACAGAGTTTTTTCACATGAAAACGGATCTTTTTAAAAACTCCGGCCAAAGTGAAGATCTGCGTTTTCTCCGTTTTGGGTGTCTGCGTGTGGACAGACAAAACCGGAGTTTTAAGGTCCGCAACGTCACTTTCCGCGACAAAAAAATGCTGACATCACGTGTGCGACCTGTGTTTACACTAGCCGACAGCATGGATGCCCTCAGAGCTGCGCTCGCTTTATCAATCGTCCAAGCGCTTTCTGCTTGTTTGTTTTTGCAAGCGGAATTACTGCTGCTTGCGGAAGACCACAGACGAAGGACGAGGTTAAGAACGGGGGAAGTACTGCCGCCTACAGGTCTGGCATGTCCTTAACAACGTATTTATCCGGGTACGTGTGGACAGAGTTTTTTTTAAAACGAGGTGGTGTGGATGCAAGTTTTTGGAGGGGCGGATATTCGTTTAAAAAAAAAGCGGCTACGTGTGGACTAGGCCTCAGACTGGCAAGAAGAAGAAGAAGAAAATATCATTTCTATAGCACCTCTCAAGATAAAAATCACGAGGTGCTTCACAAAAACAAAACATATAAAAACTGTAAAAATATAAAAAAAGCATTTCGAAATGTTTAAAAATATATTTAAAATGAACAAAAATAAGCAATTGCGATTTAAAAGAAAAATTGTTAATAAAGAGAGAGAGTGAACAGGAAAGAGGGAAATCAGTGGATCCTGAGGAAGGTGGAATAGGTGGGGAGAGCAGAATAAAGAGAGAGAGGTGAAGAAGGTCATACAAAAGCCAGCTAGAACAGGTGAGTCTTCAGCTGCTTTTTGAAGGAGACCACTGAGTCCACTGATCTCAGGCTCAGGGGAAGAGAGTTCCAGAGTCTGGGGGCCACAGCAGCAAATGATCTGTCACCTTTGACCTTTAGCCTGGTGCTGCACAACCAGTAGGCTTGGATCACTGGACCTCAGGGACCTGCTGGGGGTGTAGGGACTAAGAAGATCACCAATGTAAGATGGTGCTTGTCCATGTAAGGCCCTATAGACCAGAACCAGGATCTTGAAATGAACCCTGAAGTTGACTGGCAGCCAGTGAAGCTGGAGGAGAAGCGGGGTGATGTGGGTGTGTTTGGAGGACTTGGTCAGAAGCCGAGCACAGGCGTTCTGAACCACCTGTAGACGGTTCAGGGAGGTTCTGCTCAGACACGTGAAAAGAGAGTTACAGTAGTCTAAGCGTGAGGAGATGAAGGTGTGGAGAACTGTCTCAAGTTCAGAGCGAGACAGAATGGGACTCAGCTTAGCAACGTTCCTGAGATGGAAGAAGGAAGAGCGAACAAGAGAACTGACATGAGAATCCAGGGTGAGAGTAGAAGAAGTTAATCATGCACGTAAAATTTTAGATTGTTTTGTGAAGAAGGCTTCAGGGTTTTAAGAAAGTCCACCGGACACCAGGACCATCTCGTAAAGTAAATCCAATTTTGGGAGAGCTCCACTAGAGAGTAGCTGGACAGCAGCAGCAGGTGTGAGAGTGTTTGCAGCACAGTGAGGAGACTTATGAACAAAAGTCTAGTGATAATAAAGGCAGCAGTGGAAACCTCTTTTATAAAACCAAAAACAATGCCACTGACTGATGTTTGGCTGAAGGTCTGAGGACTGGAGGAAAGTCATCGTCTCCAATGGATCTTTTCCTGGAGCTTCTGGAACACGAGTCATCTGGAGAAGAACAGTAAAGCATTTTGAGACCAACCGTGTGTGTGTGTGTGTGTGTGTGTGTGTGTGTGTGTGTGTGTGTGTGTCTGTGTGAGTGTGTGTGTGTGTGTGTGTGCCAAGCCAAGGTTTATATAGCACATGTAAGTAGCAACAACAGTTACACCAAAGTGCTGAACATTAGCAAAAAAGCTGTCAATGAAATTGCAAGAAAAATTAAAATCACAGACAAGCAAGACAGAAAACATGCTGTGAGTCATAAGAACAAAAACATCAATCAGGTGAAAAGATTAAAGATTAAAAGCGGAACACAAGGGGACTTCTGGTGACTTCACTGTTGGGGTAATTAGGAGCGAGTAATTAGTACTTAATTAATTACTTTTGGATTCTTCAATAAACTCTGTAAATATGGGAATATTTACCGATGTATTAATTAATTAAGATACTGTTACGTATCTACGGGGCACCATCCCTTTAATTAGAAAGGGAAATGAATCCAAAACTCTTATCAGTCTTTCTTGAAGATCGTGGACCAGAGGAGCAGAGACTTTAAATCGACACAAGAAATCTATTGGAGACAAATCTGAATTTTATAACATTTAATTAACAAGGAGATTAATAATGCAAAACAATGGTATAATTGAAAATGTGTGTAAAATGGAGGATGTCCCCACGTGATGGATTTGTTTCAGTGGTGAGTCCCCGACAAACCATAAAAACACGTATGGGTGTGTGTGTGTGGTGTGTGTGTGTGTGAAATCAATGAATGCTTTGTTTCCCAGCGCAGGTGTGCGCGTGCATGTGAGTGTCTGATAAGGCTGGAGAATTTAGTGTCCGTGTGTGCACAAACTGTCTGTCTCCAGCTCCAACACAAAGAAAAAGTTTTTCAGCTTAAGCTCAGTTTCACAGTAATCTAACTTTAACACTTCAAAAGTTTAGACCCTTAAACACTTCAGAAAGATTGATAAACAACAAAGGTCACTAATTATTTAATCTAAACAGAGTCGGTAGCCTGGCCACAGCTAACCCAGATTAAATAAACAATAAACAAAAGATCTTACTTCACGGTATATATCTATAACGTGTTTGATTACGGAAGATAGGGAAAACCGTCTGATAATTTGAAGCAAGTCACGCGCTCGACTGCTTATTGTGAACTATAAGAGGCGAGAAAGATAAAAGAGAGGATGAGATAAAACTTGCAGGAGCAAAACAGCTGTTCCGGGCAAAGCAAGGCGTCCCTGGTCAGATGATTTACTCCGTTGTTCCTCCCCACGAGTGTCTCTCCACGGAATCAGCTGGACAGAGAGAGCAAAGTTTCTTTGTGCTGAGTTTGACAACTTACAGCGTCTCTGAGAGCGGGATGGGCTCCGCTCGTTCCCAGTCAGGTCCTGATGGAGTTGGAGTGGCTTTCCAGCGGTTGTGTCTGATCTGCTCCAGCAGCCAGCCTCCCGCTGGCTCGCGTTGATCAGAGCAGCAGCAGTGAGCGCGTCCTTTTTCAGCCAGTGATACTGGACAAAGAACAGTTAAGTTTCGTTTTTCGTTGAAACTTATAGTTTTGAGCTGGTTGTTGTGGTGACGTCATCACCTTGCTTCCCTATGCAAAGCATCATGGGAAATGAAGTGTCTCTGGTGCTGATGTTATTATCTGCTTTTTCAGAGCAATTTAAGCACAGTCCTTTTGGAGAAAATCACTGCATAGCAATTTCCTCATGAGGTCAGACCCTCAACATCACGATGAGAGCAGAACGGTGAGAGCCGAGCTCCGTCAGGTACCCTTAAAAATATATCGACAGCTCTGGAGTTTGATGATCTTCTACACCTAAAGGGATACTTTACCAAGATGAGCACCTCTGCACGACAGAAGATGACCAACACACAAGGAACGACCAAAGATATGGATGACAAACACTTGAAATCAGCTAGCCCTTCTGAGGCTAACTCTGAAGCTAACCAGCGAGATCGCACTTCTGGAGGAGATTAAAACACTGTGTTGAGAAAGCTGAGGGACATAGTCAGACTACATCATCCCTGACTTGTCTGGAACAGGCCATAGCAGGCATTAAGAACCAAACAACAGAACATGAAGGGAGGATCACCGTTTGGAAGAGAGGGTGAGCATTGTTGAAGATATGGAGGCCCAACAGCAGAGGGCGCTTCTACACTTACTTCGCCGAGAAATGGAAATCACAGCTATGAGCGAGGACCTCCAAAATAGGATGAGGAGGAATAATCTGAAAATCTTTCAAGTACCAGAAGGGGGTGAAGGTGATAACATGAATGGATTTGTGAAGGATCTCCATCATAAAGGGCTCACGCTCCCACCTGAGACTGACATCAGGATTGAAACGGCACACGGCTCTCTCCAATCCAAACCAAGAGACCCAGCAGCGTCATCCAGGTCCATCATCGTGAGATTTCTGGATGCCTCGGTGAAAGATAGAGTCTTGCATCAAGCGTGGAGTCAAGGTCAAGTGCAGTTCCAGGACAAGAGGATCTTCTTCGATCAGGACTATTCACCTGAACTACGACTCAAACTAAAATCTGAGAGAAGATTCACACTACACTGATGCACTGACAGACCTGGGCGTCCAGTTCCACTGTGGATAAAAGGAACAAACAGAGGAGAACATGATGGACGAATGGGCCGGTAACATGAAGAGGAAGTGAGGACAGATGATACTGTCGCCAACAGACCTTACAGCCATCACGCAAGAGGATTCCAGCACTGGAGAAGAGGTGTTAGAAAGCCCAGATATTTGAGACATTTGCTTCGTTTTTCTTCTCTTCCATTTTCTAAGACACCTGCAGTTACATAACATCCACGAGCTGAAGTTTATTTAGATAAGTACAAATAAAACATATAACTAGAGTTGTCGGACTATATTCCTCAGAACTTCAAA